AGGAATTCCTAAACGGAGTTCCCAGTCCTGTCCCAGACTGACTAACACGTTTTATTATAATTTAATCAACACTTCATATCAAATTATATTGAAGACATTTTGTCCTCAATAGCTTGGAAAGTATCAGTAGTGCCTCTGATTCTAATCAGAGACCCATTTTTCAGGTTACTTGTACATAGTGGTTCCAAAATGTTTCAAAAACTTGAAAATTCTTCTGTGGGGTTTCTGAGAGCAAAGACAACGTCAGTCAATTTCTTTTCAAGATTTTTTATCCAAGTAAAATTCACACAGATAAAAAGATCAGACAATAAATTTTTCAATACTATTCACAATGATACAAATACAGAGTTTGGAATAAGGAAGTCTTGCTAAAATATTTATAAGGCTTCATGAGAACTAACTGCATCAAGGTTTGGATTAATTCTGAGGATCACTCAAAGAGTCAAGTTACAGTATATACAAACTAACCAAGTCAAGACAAACTAGTCATGGACAAGTTTCAATAAAATAACCAAAAAAACCCCGTGAATTCATTTATCATCTATAAAAAGTTTGAAAACAAAATTGCCCCTTGAGTAACACAATAAAAATATATATTACACTGACTTCTTCCCGTTTGTATGCAGTGACTTTCATTGTACAAAGAATGCCAAACAAAAGCTCGAACTTTGATTTTCCAAAATGTTTGATTAATATGAGAGGGTTTGGATGTGGAAATCTTGATTGAACCTTGTGAATGCTGAAAAGCAGAAAATACAGCATTCTGTTCATTCATTCATAATATCCCCAGAAATGTCCTTACATATATGCACACAGAAAAAGTTTTCCTATGCAATTCACTAGCTCTTCTGTCCAAAATTCCCTTCTAGGCGAATTTTGCCACGTCAATCGAATTGAAAAGTTAAATCATACGAATTATGCTGGGAAGTTTTTATGGTAGGATTCGCCTATTCATATATACTGTATACAGTTAAAGCGTGAGAGAAAAACGTTGCCGCAACCAGCTTGTACTTGCACGCTACTTGGACACGCGCTCGTTCATCAACATCTGACGCGATTCGAAGCTTCCTTTGTGTGGGATAAAAGGGGGAATATAAAAGGTTTTTTGTTGTTGTTGCGGAAAGTGAAATTGCACAGCAGGTATACAGTATGCACCTCAGGGGCTATCGGGATGCAGTCCAATGTATTTCTCATTTGGGCTGATGTGGAGTGAAGGGGACCAAACGACCACGGGTAAAAACCCGAGGTGTGTTAGAGACGGGTCTCTTTGTGTACTAGCACATAGTTTAATTAAGAAGTAAGACATATCCAGTTAAATTTTTAAAGTCTTAACTTTACAAACTTTTAATTAATTGTAATACATGCAATTATCCTTGTTGAGCCTGCCTATTGAAATTGTTGCATTTCAAGGCCAGTGAGCCTTGCCAAAATTCTGTTTTTGCAAGACTCACCAAGCCCCACCCAAGGCCAAGAAGTGGTCATCACTTCCTCAATTTTTGTAAAATCAGCCAATCCTGAAATAGGAAGAAATCACCTGATTTCTTCCTATAATAAAAGAACGTATTTCTTCAGGAAGAAATCAGGTGATTTCTTCCTGAACAGAGAACTGAACAGAGAATGTTTGTTCTTCCTGAGCAAAGAAATCACCTGATTTCTTCCTGACCAAGTCTATAAGCACCTGGATATAAAAGCCTTCCCTCCTCTTTGACAGGAGAAGTGACAATCTTGTGTTAAAAGGGCCTTTTAACGTAAATTACCTTATTCATTCTTCTGAGCAAACCAACCAATCTTACAGTTGATTCTGACATTCCAAACAACCATTTCATTAACAGCCAAAAGATGATCTGGGCAATGAGAATGAACTCCTCTGAACAGAGTTTGAGGTCTTATTCAAAACTTGCATTCTGATGGCTGCACATTTCAATTCCTTTGTCTGGAATCCAATGGACCCATGACAAAAACAAAGGACTAACTGTACAGTACAGTTTAAGTTTTAGGACTTTCTCTTTGTGATGACGGAAAATTATTTTTGTTTAATTCTGATGTCCAATGATGCTTTTGACGAGGAAACTACAGAAATATATATATGGATTATTCCCTCTGTAATGATGTAAACATTTTTTTTCCAGGGGTCCGAAAATGTCCATGTTAAGGGAGGAATATAAATGTTGGCATTTATCCCTACGCATAGCTTACATTTTTTTTCTGATATAAAAAAAATTTTTCGACAAAGAAAGTACACAAATTTTGGTATTTCCCCTGAGTAATGGTGGCAATTTTTGGCGAGGATGCGGAAAAGGAAGTATATAAACCTAATGAAGACGCGCAATAACGCGTGTGCTTTTCTCCCACCGTTGGCGCGGAACTTCCAATCTTAGTCGCGTGGATGCAAATAATTCCCGGGAAACCAACTTGATTTCCGCCTGATTTCTAGGCACGGTCTATTGCGTAATCCCTTTCTTCCCATCCATACAGTAACACATTGAAAGTAATTTCGGTTCGCAAAAAAATAATAGAGCATTAAAATCAACGCCAGTTCAAATTCCTTTCGGATTTTGAATCCCAGCGAAGAAACCATCCGTCAATGGATTATAGGCGCATGGAAATTTACTTGAACGAGTATTTAATAAAGTCAAGCACATACTGTATATGCATATACGAGTTTACTGTAAATTAAAAATACACGAGAAAAGAACGTATGGCACAAATTGACGCATAATTTTGAAAGATGAAAGCTGAATTTTGAAAGCCGACTCTTATTCAAGTTAAACTTTTCGAATCAGACCATCGTACAGAAGACTTTTCCACGGAATCCAATTCTGACATTCAAAAATACCGCAATACTGTAATGATATCTTCTCGGAAACAATCATTTCCATCACTTGTTGCAAAATTGAAGCATAAATATGTACACTTGAGCAGCCATGCGTTTTGAGGGAAGAGAAAAATTGCAAAACGAATACACTGTAGGGGATAATAATTCAAAATTACTCAGAAAAACATCGGGGATTTTTCTCGGAAGTTTTTCCCAAATTTTAAAATCCCTAATGGAATGTAATGAATTAAATTTTAAATCGCTTCTTTCGTAGTGACCGTACATCTATCCACGTATATAAAGCCTGAGCCATATTTTTGAAAGAAAATCGATTAAAAGGAAGTTCATCATGAGAAAATTTTAAAATCTGGATGTAAAAAGTGCTGGTAAGTTTCAGGAATAATTATAAATTGAACATAAACTTTGAAAGCACTTCTTCAAAGTGACCAAGAATCTGTCGAGATTCTCAAAGCATATACATTCCGCAGGTTTACACACGAACTTGTTCTGCTTGTAAACTTTTATTTAACAACAGGTATAAACATGTAAAGGCGGTACAATTATCACGCTTACAAGTTCTTGGAATCGGCTGAAACGCCGATTTGATTGGTTGCAGAAAAGCGAGGCGGGAGAGAAAACTGTGTTCATCAGAGAAGCTCACCTATTGCCTTCCATCGAAACGAATCTAAAATGACTTTCAGACTACACATAGATGTCACTGTCCAAACAATCATACAAAGTAGCCGCGCTTGGAGAAGACATGCACGTCGTTGATGCCCACGAAAGGATTTTCCAACAGTTCTTTGTGGAAGTGGTAGCCCTTGGATTGCAGAAAATCGATAGCAAACTGCTTGTACCTAGCGTAAATTCTGCCAGCATGAAGATCGAGTCGAATCACCTGTAAATAAATTTGTGGACGGGTAAAATTCTGAAACGAGTGAGCAAAAATTAAAATACTGCACGGTATTAAAGTTGAAAAAAAATCGGGAATAAAATGAGATTTATCGTATTATGTCCTCTCGTCCCTTCCTGCAGTTAGGATTTAATTGCAGATCTAACTTCAAAGGAAAATGTACCGACTGTATTTTCTTCGTTGATGCGCTATTAATAAGCGATGACGAAGTTATGTCGAGTAATTAATTAAATGAATTCCAGAAGCATAATCAATACGCACTTGTTCCCCATACATTTTTAACTTTCATTAGTGTGTATACGCAATACACTTTTTTTTAAATCATTTATTCATCAAATTCTACAGTCAAGCAAACGAGCAAAACAAGGCTAAGGCTTCATCTAGAAATTTTCTGTTGTAGTTGAGAAGAGAATCAAGAAACTTATCAGCATACATTTTCACCTCTTAGATTTTTTTAGGGGGCACATTTGCAATAGATCGACATTTTAAATGATGGGAAGTCAAGCATTTTCTCCAGCAGGTCAAACGTGCTCTCGCGTGTGAATATTGCGTACCGCATAATAAAATGCAAATAATTAAATAATTGATGCCGTAGTTTGAAGCAAGTTTTGTGCATTATAATCAATAATGATGCTCAAGAGGAATGAATTTCTTGTTTGATCAGTGATTCTACCCCAGGCACGTTCTTCTGCGAAATTATTGTCTGCCAGCCTCAGGATCGATGACGTCTCCCTTTATTTCGGCACACCGACTTTAATCTTTTCTTTAGCCATTAGAAACGTTCCAGAGAAAATCCATTCTATCGGAAGAGGCTACGGAGCGTAAAGCAAAGCTGGACAAAACGTCCATGAAGATAAAATGGAAGGAAGGGAGAAAACTTTAAAAATAAAGCGAGTCCTGTACACACACACATATACACACACTCTCTATATATATTGAGAGAGGGAGAGACGAGAGAATAAGAAGCCTGATGGTTTCTTCTTACCCCCCCCCCCTTTTTTTTTTTACCCTCGTCGTCGTCGAAAAATCAGAGAATAAAGACTGACTTTAGCCTCGAAGTCGTCTTCTTCCCAGGGCAGGGTTTTGAGCACGTGTGGCTCAATGCTCTCCACATCGAGCGAGAGGAAATCGATCCTGGTCAAGTTGGCCGCCACGAGGAGCGAGTAGAGCGGGAAGCAGGTGACCCGGGCCGTGAACACCCGCCAGCCCGGGTCCACGCGCCGCGTCTTCCGCAACCCGGACCCGGACAACAGCTTCCCGTACCAGTACACGTCGTTGGGCACTGGGCCCGACTCCAGATGAGCCACTCCGAAAGTTCCCTATTTATTCATTCAGCATTGTTTTTTTAAAGTTTTTTTTTTGCATACAGAAGAATTTCGTTACAACGATGAGGGAAACGGGGATGATACAAGCTTATTGCGGAAAAAGTCGCAATCGATCTGAACTTGTTTTCTTTCATGTTTAGGAATTGCTGGAAACTGGTTTCTTTTCATGCTGGTTTCACATTTAAAAAGGAACAAAAATATGATGCTTTATTCATATTACAGATCTTAAGCTGGATTAAAAAACATTCCAGATGCAAGAGACATCTGAGTGCCGAGGCCGTTATACCCAGCCTCCAAGGGAATTTAATTTTAAAGCTGCATAACTACATTATGACTGCAAAAATAATGGAAGCTGGAGCATCCTCAATCCTTGGATGTTAATTAAATATTTCATTAAATATTTTCGAATCAATGGCGATTCATGACGAAGACCGAAACCCATAGAAAATGTCCTAATAACGACGTCACAAAATTTACTGCGTACTCTGATGGAATTCGAGTGCTGCGGTTCAAGCGTTCAACCCAGTTTTCTGCTAGGAAATTTATAACCTTTTTCATATTAAAACTCTGATGCATTTCAAAGCAAGGATTGTGAGGTTCCTCATAAAAACCAAAAAGAAACTCACGTGGCATGGCTTCGTTTCCGGCGATAAACAAGCAGCAGCGAATAATGCTCGTCTTTCGGAAGAGTTGATGATCTCCTGGTGCTTCAAGGGATTTGCCTCTGCCAACAAACCAGACCAGCCTAATTTGCGTTCCAAAAAATAAGTCGTGGATGCAAATTTTCCATCCAAAGCCCCGGCTTCGAAAAACTTTCCTTCGTACTTCACCGACGACTGCGCTCATAGAAGAAAAAAAAAAAGACTGACATTTTATCAGTGTTCAGCGAAATTTCAGATGAGAGAAACTCAAGCATGACAGATAAGTTTTTCAAAAATAACGAGTCCGAAAAAGGGGGTTCAAACAATGTATTTTTTATTTTATCAAGGAAAGCTGGAAAAGCGGGTTCGTATATTTATGGCTCATCCGTGATATACGAGAATAACGAACTGTGGGTTATCAATCATCAGAAATCGCGATTGCTTGTCACAAATTTTAATCAGGCTACCTGCAAAGAGATTGATCATACAGTATTTATTTTATTTTGCAATTTTATACCGAACGAAGGAGTCCGGGAATGAGCAACTGGGAATGAAAAATCAAATCACACTGTCAAAGCACTACAGCATACTTTTTTTTTGCTATTAAAATTTTCAACTGGTGGATCGAATACTGTATTTATGACAAAGCATTTCAGTAATTTACGAAAAAATCAGCATGCAATTTTTGAGTGCGTTCGATTCGGGAGGAAAAGCTGTTCACCGGAATAAGGGTCTGAATTATTTTTAATACAGAGCCCAAAAAGACGTTGAATGCCATAAAATAATTTCTTGAAAATTGTGTTACGTCATTTGAATAAACACATGAAATATTTTCAGGCACTATACTTTGAACGTAAACCATGCCCAAAAATAAGCTTGACGCAAAAATTAAATTTCCCGTCGGCTGTTCCATGAATTCCATGATCTACAGTACTGTATTTATAAATAATTTGATATTTTTCTCGGGCTTCTTCTCTTATTCCCAGAATTATTTTGCTAACTCGGTGTGCGGATGTATGAACATTCAAAATTCCATAAAATAATTATTTCCATTTTAAACCATTGAGAGAAGCCATGATCGTAATATTGTGAATTCCATCGTTCTTGAGATCCAAAAAGGAACCTCTTGAAAGTAAGTACTGTACCCGCAGTCGATTTCGAACGAAAAATTGGATTTGGCTTGTCTTATTTATGAGAAACGTTTTATTCGAGCTAAGGTAAAAAAAATTGATTTTTTAAAAGAATAGCAGGTGAAAAAGGAATATTCTTTCAAGCTTTTTTTTTTTTTTTTAAACAGTTCGGTGATTCTGTCAAGCACGGAGATCCCATGAAATTCAGAGATTGGCAGTAATGAAGCAATAAATATGAACGAAATGTATTACGTATTCAAGATAAACATAAATTTACATTCAAAATTCCATTCCTGATCAGTTAATATTTACATTTTTGACTCGGGGTAGCACTGATTGATGCGTTTTCGTTGGAATAACCCATAATCTTTTCATCATCTTGGAAGAATTTATAATCCCCTTTACCGATGGAATCCTTTCGAATGCCATATCGTATGAGAATTCGCTGGCAATANTGGCTCAATGCTCTCCACATCGAGCGAGAGGAAATCGATCCTGGTCAAGTTGGCCGCCACGAGGAGCGAGTAGAGCGGGAAGCAGGTGACCCGGGCCGTGAACACCCGCCAGCCCGGGTCCACGCGCCGCGTCTTCCGCAACCCGGACCCGGACAACAGCTTCCCGTACCAGTACACGTCGTTGGGCACTGGGCCCGACTCCAGATGAGCCACTCCGAAAGTTCCCTATTTATTCATTCAGCATTGTTTTTTTAAAGTTTTTTTTTTGCATACAGAAGAATTTCGTTACAACGATGAGGGAAACGGGGATGATACAAGCTTATTGCGGAAAAAGTCGCAATCGATCTGAACTTGTTTTCTTTCATGTTTAGGAATTGCTGGAAACTGGTTTCTTTTCATGCTGGTTTCACATTTAAAAAGGAACAAAAATATGATGCTTTATTCATATTACAGATCTTAAGCTGGATTAAAAAACATTCCAGATGCAAGAGACATCTGAGTGCCAAGGCCGTTATACCCAGCCTCCAAGGGAATTTAATTTTAAAACTGCAAAACTACATTATGACTGCAAAAATAATGAAAGCTGGAGCATCCTCACTCCTTGGATGTTAAAAGAGAACTTCATTATTGTCTCTGATCACAGGTTTCATAAAGACAAAAATCACACACACAGTCAGCAAATACAATCTTGCATTTTTCAGTAAAAACTTGCTTTCAAAAACAAATAAGATCAGCAAAGGAAACATGCTTCACCTATGGTGCAATTCCCAACACGCACACTTCTAAAGCAAATAACGTTGCAAATTGTACATTAAAAAATTCTGCAACATTTTTATTTGAAGCTGAAGATTTTCTCCAACTCTTCTTTAATCATATAAAAATAAACCTGATTGCCAGATCTTGAGATATTCTCACTTTTCTAAACCTAACTTTTCTTTGGTGAAAAAAAATCTTGAGAGCCTTTATGCCAGATTTGTATCGCACTCATGTACAAGCTTTTGGTGCAAACAGTAACTTTAAAAGCCTTGTTTCTAAATGTACATGAATGAATTTATTTCTGAAACACTTACACAAACATGATGGGAATTCACTTCCAATGAAAATACTGGCGGGACCAAATGTATAATACATAGGCAGGTATACAATTATTTCCAAGTGTTGATGCATTACAAAAACATGATGGCAGTTCATTCAATATTTTCGAATCGATGGCGATTCATGACGAAGACCAAAACCCCTAGAAAATGTCCTAATAACGACGTCACAAAATTTACTGCGTACTCTGATGAAATTCGAGTGCTGCAGTTCAAGCGTTCAACCCAGTTTTCTGCTAGGAAATTTATAACCTTTTTCATATTAAAACTCTGATGAATTTCAAAGCAAGGATTGTGAGGTTCCTCATAAAAACCAAAAAGAAACTCACGTGACATGGCTTCGTTTCCGGCGATAAACAAGCAGCAGCGAATAATGCTCGTCTTTCGGAAGAGTTGATGATCTCCTGGTGCTTCAAGGGATTTGCCTCTGCCAACAAACCAGACCAGCCTAATTTGCGTTCCAAAAAATAAGTCGTGGATGCAAATTTTCCATCCAAAGCCCCGGCTTCGAAAAACTTTCCTTCGTACTTCACCGACGACTGCGCTCATAGAAGAAAAAAAAGACTGACATTTTATCAGTGTTCAGCGAAATTTCAGATGAGAGAAACTCAAGCATGACAGATAAGTTTTTCAAAAATAACGAGTCCGAAAAAGGGGTTCAAACAATGTTTTTTTTATTTTATCAAGGAGAGCTGGAAAAGCGGGTTCGTATATTTATGGGTCATCCGTGATATACGAGAATAACGAACTGTGGGTTATCAATCATCAGAAATCGAGATTGCTTGTCACAAATTTTAATCAGGCTACCTGCAAAGAGATTGATCATATTATTTTTTATTTTGCAATTTTATACCAAACGAAGGAGTCCGGGAATGAGCAACTGGGAATGAAAAATCAAATCACACAGTCAAAGCACTACAGACTACTTTTATTTTGCTATTAAAATTTTCAACCGGTGGATCGAATACTGCATTTATGACATAGCATTTCAGTAATTTACGAAAAAATCAGCATGCAATTTTTGAGTGCGTTCAATTCGGGAGGAAAAGCTGGTCACCGGAATAAGGGTCTGAATTATTTTTAATACAGAGCCCAAAAAGACGTTGAATGCCATAAAATAATTTTTTTTAAATTTTGTTACGTCATTTGAATGAACACCTGCAATATTTTCAGGCACTGCTCTGAACGTAAACCATGTCCAAAAATAAGCTTGACGCAAAAATTAAATTTCCCGTCGGCTGTCCCATGAATTCCATGATCTACAGTATTTATAAATAATTTGATATTTTTCTCGGGCTTCTTCTCTTATTCCCAGAATTATTTTGCTAACTCGGTGTGCGGATGTATGAACATTCAAAATTCCATAAAATAATTATTTCCATTTTAAACCATTGAGAGAAGCCATGATCGTAATTTTGTGAATTCCATCGTTCTTGAGATCCAAAGAAGAATCTCTTGAAGGTAAGTACTGTACCCGCAGTCGATTTCGAACGAAAAACTGGATTTGGCTAGTCTTATTTATGAGAAAAATTTTATTCGAGCTAAAGTAAAAAAAATTGAATTTTAAAAAAAGAATAGCAGGTGAAAAAGGAATATTCTTTCAAGCTTTTTTTTTTTTTAAACAGTTCGGTGATTCTGTCAAGCACGGAGATCCCATGAACTTCGGAGATTGGCAGTAATGAAGCAATAAATATGAACGAAATGTATTGCGTATTCAAGATAAACATGAATTTACATTCAAAATTCCATTCCTGATCAGTTAATATTTACATTTTTGACTCGGGGTATAGCACTGATTGATGCGTTTTCGTTGGAATAACCCATAATCTTTTCATCATCTTGGAAGAATTTATAATCCCCTTTACCGATGGAATCCTTTCGAATGCCATATCGTATGAGAATTCGCTGGCAATANTGACTCGGGGTATAGCACTGATTGATGCGTTTTCGTTGGAATAACCCATAATCTTTTCATCATCTTGGAAGAATTTATAATCCCCTTTACCGATGGAATCCTTTCGAATGCCATATCGTATGAGAATTCGCTGGCAATAGTCTGCAGCCGAAGCACTAAATCATTTCAGAGCCCATACTTGAAAATTATTTTACTAATCCAATTCCAAATTGGGGGAAATTAATCACCCCGATCGTGATATCTGAAAAACTGACGCGATTTATTTGTTACAACAGTTTCTGGATGCCACGAAGGTATCGGGATTCTGAATTCAAACTTATCTTTCTCTTCAAGGAAAAAATTTCAACGAAAAAAAGGTTCACACATTGTTTTGATTTTTAAAAATGTATTCCGAAAAATATACTGGAATCCACGAGTGAATGATGCTGATAAAATTGAACAAATACCACTCCCATGTACGCCATGAATTGATTCATGAATTTTCGCACTGAAAGTGTATAAAACACTGCACACTCATCAGGTTTCGTTGCTTTGAATTCCGCACACAACAAATTTTACCTCGGATTTCCCCTGAGATTATTCGGGCGCAAGGAATGTGCGGAATGAAAAGCCCGCGTGTTTCATTATTTCGAGGACCGCCTGAGGGGCAAACACAAACGATTTCGCAGTAATATAACATTTAACTAAAGTAACAATTTCTGCAACAGAGGCTGTACAGTAATTAATTTTAAACAATGTCTTCCTACACTTTCAATAGCGAGAAACTCGTGTGCAGATTTAAATGTCTAAACGACGAAAACGAAAATAAACTGTTTCAAGGTCGGAATCATTTCTGAAAGAGGAAACTTTGGGTTTATCCGGTTCATTCCAGTCGTCGCTTGTTATTTTCCCCCACAAAAGGGACCATTTATTTCTCATTGAGCCATAAGAAATGAACAATTCGCAAGGGAATGCTCAGGTACTCGTATCAACTGTACCAAACAATGCTTGAATGTTTTCTGAAGGCACTGCTTACAATTTAAATGGAAGCTTTTAATGAGTAAGAACGGTTCAAGTGTCGATAGCTGAAGGGGTCAACTTCCAACGAAAATGATACAGTATTTAAAAAAAATTAAGGGGTTCCTTCCGAGAAAGTCGTCGTCTGCGATTGTTGAATTTCAAAAGGCTTTTGTGTTATTTTCGAGAAACAGTGAATTAAACTAAAAATAAGCTTTAAGAACTAATCAGAGTTTAAAAAAGATGAACTCATCAAAGCGCGGAACATTGTCCAAAATTAAGGAAAAAATACATGTACAGTATTTCACAGAAAATCATTTAGAATCATGTTATTTGCACTCTGAAACATCATTATCTCGTCTTAACAACGTATCGTAGTACACTTTTCAAGCTAAGCTGAATTTCAATGAAAGAAATGTCTATATATTCGATGTAAGAAAACATTACAGTACTGTATAATCAATGCTCAACATTTCTAGACCTACTTTTTGCGAAAAAATCCCACGTAACACTTTACAAGTGCATCAAAAAGCACCAGGGGAAAATTCAACATCAAATTTCCACCTTAGGCTTTATAAATAAAGGCGGACCTTTTGAGAATCTGATAAGAATTATGCAGATAATTTCGATTATCACAGTTGAACCTTCCCAAGTCCAATTCGAATGGACAAAAAAATTAAACGTCAAGAATTCTCAAGTTAGAGAATTTTTCCTGACACAAATTGCAAAATTTTCATGAAAGAAAAGGGAGTCATTTTTTGGGCTTTGAACTACAGTACTTTGAAGATTTTCGTGACACGTGTGACACATGAAAGACAATCGGGTTCACTCACGTTCAAGAAGAACTTGGGGACAATCAGCCGAGACATGAATTGTCCCGTGGAGGGATCCTCATCAGCACCATCAACAGGGATCCTTGTCCGTCCCCTTCTTTCTCCTAAATCAATTATCACTTTTTTCCGGATGTGGTCCAACAACTTTGGATGCTTCAACGCATCCGCATTCGGAGACTCTATCGACCGAAGTCGAATGACACATTCGTCCCAGGCGTAATGATTTTTTTGCTGATCATCAAGTAACACGAGTGATTGATTATTTGTATCATCATTGAGGCAAACGGACGTCATCAGCTGTGCCACGAATCGGAAGGAAACCACGACAACAATGGTTACGGCGGCAAATTTACGCATTCTGGCGCTTGAAATCAATTGTGAATTGCAGAGAAGAAGTTTCCTCCATGAAAACCCGTGATTTCGAAACTTCATTTCGGTTCTGTAAATGCTCAACCAGCTCTTCTGAAGAGAAAAATATGCAATACAAATACAGAATTTATTCGGAATGAGATAAACACATTAAAGTGCTCCACGGAGCCCTCATTGAGGATTGGCATGGTCCAAGGGGCTCCGCAACTCCGCCAAAAATAGTAGAATGAAAAACAATGACAGGTAGCTAGAGAATAATTAAACATATTCCAAAAAATAGAGGTGTAATATTTTCATAAAATAGCAAAGCAACATATATTTTTAGGGCTATTACTTCAAAGCGAATGTTCAGAAAATACAGAACAGGTATTCAGCTAATTTATTTTTTTAACCATACAGTTCATAATGCAATCGTGTCCTGTAAATATTTATTGACAGAATTTCAACTAAACATTATCTTTGAAGCATAAATGGAATAACTGTATAGACTTGGTACGATCCTACAGGATTTGCCTCACTGAAATTCTCTTAACTCATATTGCTTTCAAACTTTTTTAATATATGAATTTTACATGATTTTCCACATGTATGTCCTATTGTCAGGCTTTTGGAGGAAATCTGAATTTCTTATTATCTTGGCTGTGCTTGTCATCGAGTTTTTGCATGTAAAACTGAACACTTCTTCCAAAATATCCTAGGGTTTGAAGATTAAGTGAAGTTTTTCTGCAATTTTCTTCCCCTGAAAGGGATGAGCGTTGAATATCAAGTCATTTTCTCAGATGGCGAATTTTATAATAGAATTTATTCAAGGATTTTCATATACTGGTTTATCCAAAGGGTCACTATACTCATTAAATCACGCATAAATAACATAAATTCAAATTAATATTTCGTCATATTCAATTGAATTTACGTAAGTCGGTAGAATTTCCATATGACGGGGAAAAACCGTTATTGAGAAGGGTTCTTGTTCTACCTTGTGTTTTTACCATCCATCATAATCAACTGAATATAAATGAAATTTTTTGCACAGTATAAATTCATTAACGAACAAGAGAAAACCCCAAAGTAAATTCCATCCAGGAATACCGGACACAGTGCGGCGTAGAAACAGCTAGCCGAATTATTTTCGAAATTTTTTTGGAATATACAATTGAAATTACTCCGTGGGAAGATCACAAGGTTTTCCACCGCCGAAGTCCTTTTAATCTAGAGAACATTAACGTTTGCGTTGTGTCTTATTTCTGCAAATATTGTACTTCAAAGGCTGTTGAAGCTTTGGCACTCGTCACTCGAAGCTCGTTAACTTCCATACAAAAAATTTTTTTCGTCGGAAAATAATAACTTCAGGTATGCAAAAAGTTCGAGCATGACGGGAAAATTTTCTAATGAAAACCCGGCGATATTACGCGAAAAAAATTTGAAGAGCACTTTTGAAGTTAGATTTCAGATGAGCATAGATAATTAGTGTTATTTCTGTTGTTTAAAATCTCAGGAAAATAACTCCAACTAGAATGAATACTTGTCGAATATGGGACACACTTATCTTGAATGTTGAACAGAAATTTTCTCGCGGTCAGTCCACTTTTTTCACGCCATCGTTTGCAAATTTTCCCTTTTTCTCAAGCTGAAATCCTGCCTTTATTTCATGAAAAAAATAATTCAATTATCGAAGAGATTGGAATATAGAGAAAAATAGCCTCATTGAGTAAATATAATTCGGTATTGATACATAATCACTTATTCATACAGTTCTGTAATGCTATATGAGAAAAAGCACATTTATTCCTCTCAAAGAAAGAGTAGATGTTAAATCGAATTTATCTTTAAACCAAACATCCCCCTGAAGTGGCAGAAACAAGTGATGATATAAAAGACAACAGAATAAAAATTCCCAATCCTGAATATACCTTATACTCCTTAATTCGCATTTTCGCGAATTTTCTCCTTTTCTTTCCATTTCAGAACCCATGAAAAACACAGTCAACACTAAGAAAAAGAATCAAAGACTAAACGATTACCTTCTAAAATATAATTTGATGAGAACCTTTATTCCAGGTATCGGGAAAAATGTCCTCATTTTCGGAAAAGCACGATTTATGCATAGTAGAGAGGGGAAAAATCAATACTAAGTGTCTACAATTTTGTGCTATGATGAATTATAAATGATTGAACTAATTCCCGAATTCCTTTTATAAAAGTTTGAACAAAAGTTCCTCTCAAACTTATCCCGCGTTTCGGCACTCAATTTAGCTGGACATCGTCATTAAATTTTCATTCTGATAGCCGAGTATATGCCTTAGAAAGCTTTGAAAGTATTTCTTTTACATAACTTGAGAATAATTGCTCAGCTATTTTTCCACGTTTTTCTTTGGGGTATACAAGTACTTCGATACATTCTGCGTAAGAAATCCCAGACATGAAACACCAACGATGAAGAAAACATTATAAGAATCTTCTAAACAGGATTTACAGTCGACATTTATTCGATTACTTTTATTCATCAACCACAATCTAGGCCAAAAAAAAAAACGAGAAAAAAATGTTCCACGCGGAACTCAATGTCCAAAACACACTTAATTCCCGCAACATGATATAGGTGTCGCCCAATCGTCATTCGGTTTCGTGCCCAGTCGTGTTAACTTT